ATTAAAAAAAAAATGAAAATACTTTTTTTAGAAATGATTAAATGACATTTTTATGATACAAATTATATCAGAAGATAATAATCATACTCGTGATGGCAAATAATGCACTACAGTGAAAAGATACCCGCGAGTTATAATAGCGTATGGCACAACGCACACTATTTTAAGAATGGTACATAATATAAAAAAATTACAAAAAAATACAGCTAAATATGAAAAACTATTAAATTAAAAGATGAATCTTCATGATAATAAAAACAATCAAACTAATAGTCTAATACTTATGTTCAATGCTTAATACTTATAATTTTTTTTTTTTTGCAATTCTAATATTTTTAAACAAATTAAACTATCATCTTGAGATTCATCATTATCACGAGCCAAAAAAGTCTCTTCTTCATCATCAACATTATCATTATTATCTCCTCAATTATAATTTTCTTCAAGTTTAATCATAACAATGTTGAACCTAAATGAAGATTCCTTTTCTTTGCTTTCAAATCACTCTCAAATATTGTAAATTTAACATAAACATTAACGGCTTTTGCAACCGTACTCCAGGCCAAATCTTCCTCACCAATAAATAATTCATTATCTTCATTTGACACATTATCTCTATTCCTATTAATCACGCATTAGCATCATATGTATCATTTAAAGAGAAGATCAATAATATCATGATGGTTGTATCTTCGAATCAAACTCTTATCATATTTTACATTAACTAAATCTTTGAGGCGACCATGATCCATCATTTCTTCTTTCGCTATGAAGCTGTAACTAAAAATTATTTAAGTTACAAAATTATAAAATTTCATGAAGATAACATATACAAAATTTAGTTTTGTAATTACATATTCAAATATACTCTAATTGCATTCACATCCCTTTGATTAAAACTCCTTGGCCAAACACTAGCCACCAAACAACTTGAAGTATTAAAAAAAATCTATTTAATTAAAAAAGAATTCAATAGTGATTATAATTTTACTAAAATCATGTTATTTGATGCCAGAGTGGCCATGTCTTACATAATGAAGAATACCAAAAAGTCCTTAACCCCTAATGTATGCACCAAACTCCTTGCTTAGTATCTTCTTCATTGAAATCCCCAGTCAACCTTCTAATGCATGCATCTAATCAAGAAACTATTTCCTTATATTTGCAATATCAGGTTTACTAAAAAATTACGTGGGATTAAAAAAATATACAGCTACAAGCAAATGTTGATAGAGTTGTACTTCTCATCTATTATCAATAATTTCAAAAATATGCTCATATTTATCATTATTGGTAAAACACGCAGCAATTGCTTTTTTATCCCTATACATCAAAGGGTTTTTCTTCATTAACCTATTTAAAGATCTTCAATAGGTTAGTGAAGAAAAAAACCTTTAATGCACGACAAAGATAGGAATGATTACATGAGGGGGGAAAAAGTAGCATCTATTAAACATGTAATCATTGAAAATGGACATGTACAACAAATGGATGGAAATTGCAGAAATTAGACCATGGATAAAATTATTGTTGGAGGTTAAAAAAAAGAAAAAAAATGTAGACAAATGATAACATATATAATGTTCTTCAAAGATGCACTTAACAAAAATAAAAAAATGAGGGCACCAAAATCCAAATAAAAAAGTTGGAATAAGTTTGATGTCATTCTTATTGATGGCCATAACATCTTTTTTCAAATAGTCTCATTATTAATGGATCTGACTTCTATACAAATGTTTTCTATTAAATGTTTTGTGTAATGAACAACTTTAAAAGCTAAAATATTGAGGAAGGAATTAGTCCTCTTTTATTTTAAGTATTAAATAAAATGATTAAGAGTTATGAATTAAATTCTTCGATAAAACAACTAAGAATATTTAGTGTTACAATGTTTGGAACTTTCACTAACGAAGGGGTGTTGGCCATCGTGCATGCAGGGATTATGAAGAAATTTAAGTATATGGGATACTTATAGGCTGCTAATTATACTACATAAAATGTTATATAGTGTTCCTATCATTAAATATCCACTATGGGTTCATTTTGTTTTGATTTGGTGGTTATTCCATGCAACAGTCAATTATTTACATATACGAATTATTAATATCCAGGCAATGATAAATGAATTGGACTTCAATAGTACAATCTATACCAACATAGTCAGGTGACTAGCGAATTTTTAGTCCCTCCCTCTTTTGTGTGCTCTTATAAAAGTTTATTTTGTTGCATGTATGAGTAATTTCTTGAATTATACTTATTATGAAATTTGGTAAACTTTAAAGCATGCTCAAAGAAGAAAGTTATCAGCACTACAAGGGTCAGTTGCTTCATTATAAGTGATTAGAAGTGATTAAATCTCATTTTAAGAAGAGAATTCAAGCAATTATTTTGTTGAAACTAGATGGAGTTGAGTTCACATTCAAAAAGGTGAGAATTCAATTTCAACCATGCAGGTTAGTAAGTCACCTTTAATTTTTACTTTTAACAGTAATATAATACTATTTTGATGAGGTGAAAGTTCAAATATTATTTGAAATAACTAATAAAATAATGAACCAAAGGGTTTTGAAAAGGGTGGAATGATTACATAAGAGTGGTGGCTGATTAAGAAGCATCAATTAAACATATAGTTGTTTAAAATGGACGTTTACAACAAATGGGTGGAAATGCTACAATTTGATTGATAGATAAAATCAGTGTTCAAAAATACGAAAAGAAAAAAGGTAGACAATAGATACCATGGATAAAACTTTTTCAAGGACATCTATGAATAATAAGTTTAACACCTCTTGGAGCACTGAACAGAAAGAAAAAAATGAAAGTAAAATGAAGACTCATAAATGCAACCCAAACAGTTTGGAAAAGTTTTATATTGACATTGTTGATGTTTATAATGTTCATTAACAAATAGTCTCATCAATAGATAAGACTTGCATAAAAATGTCTAGTAAATTTTTTTTGTAATTAATAACTGTAAAATTTGAAATATGGAGGATGGTATCAGTTCTCTTTTGTTGGAATTACTAAGCCAATTTGTTTCATCGCAAGTGTTTGGATCTATGTTAAATAAGTGAGTCATATTAAAGTCAGTCGTGGTATTTGTTTCTTTTACATGAGTTTTTATTTTTACCCAACTTCAAAATAATTTTTTCATTAATTTTCTTAAAGAATAGAAATATAACTTAAATATTTTATTGAGGATAAGAGAGGCACAAAGCTAGTGACAGATTTTTTAGTCAAAAAACTAGATACAAACTGAAGTCCACGCAAGGAGTAAGAGAAATCTTTCATCTCACAACTGCCAAGTCTCAACTTTGAGCCGAATCAAGGAGAATATTGCTCGAGTCTATTAGTTCATTACTTCATTAACTATTTTAAATTGTATTTTAATTATTTCAAAGAATATGCTATTTACCATCCCCCTTAAATTTCTATCATATTGTTACTATTAAAAGTATTAACTAAAGGTGACTTCTCAACCCTCAATATTAAAACTAACTTCACACTGTTTTGAATGTGTTTGAAGAATGGGAACTCAATAAATTACAAATATACATGCAAACAAAATAAACGTTTATAAAAGCACACAGTAGAGGAACTTAAAAATCCCTATTCACGTAACTATTTTGGTATTGAAGTCCAAGTCATATTAATAACCGATGTATGACATACTACAAGTCTTGTAAATTCCTACCAAATCCAAATTAAAGATAGAAATCAAGTATCCTATGATGGATACATAATGAGAAGAACACTATATGATGTTTTCTATAGCCGTGAAGATAACAATTTTTTCCACTTTTGGTTCATACACAATCATTTTTGTTACTTAGTTTTCTTTTTAATTAAAATAGGAAGCATCATCTTGATTGAACAGCCTGTCAACTCTTGGGAAAATAACCAATGAGTTCAATTCATACCTAACAAATTAACAGCCTATAGAAATCCCAAATGCTTATCATTTCTTCATATATAAGTGAAGTGGCTAACAGCACCCACCTCTTCATATATAATTCATTTCTTCATTTCATGCATGCGTGCGCACACACCGCCAAAATGAAGGGAAAAAAAAAGCTACACATCCTTTAAAAAAAATATTTTTGTGCAAAATAAAAAAGAGTTTTCAATGATCACTCCTAATGTTTTCTCATCCAAGTTTACTAGCATTGATTTAAAACAAAGAAGATATAGCAAGATAACAAAGATCTTTCTTCAATATTTTGGTTTATGAAAATAAAAAAGCTACACATAAGTTATGCAGCGAAACTCAGCAGATAAACTCTATGCTTAAGAGGCCCATCTAACAGGGACACAAACAGGAAGGACCAGAAATAAGACTATAAGAGAAATTATTAACATGAACATTACCCAAGACTTAGGCGCCACTATATTTTAAAAAGCAATGAAAGTGAAACCAAGTCAAAGACTATCAGTTCTCATATATCCGGTTCAACAAAACTCCCCAACACCCTACAGCTCCATAGATCATCTCCCAGATTATTGCATGCTTCTCCCTACTAAAGCGTTATGTCCTTCTACTTCCGCTGAAAAAGCTCATGTCATCCATGATGCCGCGTCTACATACTCGACACACAACGACATATCACATTTCTTAGTTCCAAGCTCAAGCATAGGTTTTAAAGATCCTACTTCTCAATTCCTCTAATCTTAGACCAATATTCTCGTGTCCTTCCCTCTAGCATTTCTTGCAGGAAATGTTCAAGATTCGCATCATTAGCAGTGGTCAGTAAATAGGCTCAGTAGTCAACATTCGTTATAGTTCAACTGATTCGCCACTTCCGCTCCCACCCCGCATCGCAGTTGAGTGATCCCCATTCAACTATCGCCGCAGATCCAAACAAGCAAAATATAAATAAAATAAAATTCATTTTAATACAAGACCAGAAAAATTCTGGTCTTCGCCCAAGACAATCGAGAGCATGTCGAGAAAAGATAATTGAATGAAACCCTAGGTAGGATAGGCAAATAAGAGAGCAAACCTGAACGACGGCGAGGGCAACGAATTGCTCGAGCTTGAGAGTTAGCTGATGCCACAGTTTGCGCTGGTAGAGGTCAGCAAGGCTAGCGTACCACTCTGCCAAATCCGGCCGCTCATTCCGCTGCGCCTCTAAGTACTGCAGAGCCCCCGCCATTGCTACGGACGGAGGATAGGAACAGAGATCGCGATACTTATTTTTTTCTGCGTGAGTAAGAGAAGAAGAAGAAGAAGAAACCCTAATCTTTTATGGAGCTCCGTCAAACCCTTCGCAGCAACAGAAATATCGATCCGCCTATCTTCGCTGGCTTCTGATTTTATTTGTTTATTATTAATAATGTTCCTTTTTCTCAGTGAAATACACACACTTTTACAACAGTGCCCTTCCTTCTTTTAACAGGCAAAGCAACCAGTCTAGCCTTTCTTGTGGAGCACTCATCCTCTATAGAAAAATTTTGGGAAATTAGAAGAAAAAATTTAAAAATATACTCTTTTTCTTTTTTTTTTTAATAAAGAAAATTTTACAAAAAATAAACAGAATTATTTTATAATATGTGTTAATTGGAAAAAAATTCAGAGAGAGAGATATATCAAACTCTTAAAAATGAATCAATTAATTAATTTTAATTATATTTATGTAACATTTTTAACAAGCAATAGACTTATAATTACACAAATTAAGGCTTCGTACAATATTAAAATTATATAATTTAATTAACTTTTAGTATAAAATTCATATAAATCTTTTTGGAAATTAAAAATTTATTTTAAAAAATTTCATAAAATACCCCTTTTTATTTAAAAAATTCAGGTGAAATCGATTTGAAAAATAGACACTTGACAGTCCCAAAATCTTCACTTGTACCAATAAATATTAATTTCTTAAAAATTTGCAACGATGCTCAAATTTATAAAAATAATATTATAATTAAAAAACAATAATATCTATATTATGATGAAGACGGTTTAAGATTTGAGCATAAAATGAATCTTAAAATATTTATTTATTTGGGTTAAAATATGGACTATTGTAGTTTTCTTATTGTTTTTTAAAGCTGTTTTTTAATACAAAATTTTTAATTTTAGTACTAGAAAGCTGCAAATTTCTATCATCCTATACGTTTTGTGCTCTTTATTTTACACCAATTTTTCTCTTACTATTTAACCGTTCATATTAGTAAAGCGATATACTTATTCCATAAATAAATTTTGATTCAATATCCTCAAAGTCTTCAACAATTATATTTTCAAGAGCACTAAACTTACCTAAGATAAAATTTAATGATATGCCCCACTTTTGGAAGTGCTTGTTAAGGCCATAAGTGCATCTTATAGTTGTTAGGAAGTGGTTGGGATAAGCTCAAAATTCAACATAGATGACTTTTGGGATAAATATTTATATGAATTATTCTTTTAGATGATAATTGATATTAATTGTAATAAATAAGATTGTGTTATGTTAGGGTCAATGGTAGCTTAAGTGAGGCTTAAGTGCTTTAATTGTTAACTAAAATTTATATTATAGCCAAATGCATATAGCTACAATTAATGATGGAGTTAATTGGGAAATTTACATTATATGACCCTTAGATTTATGGTACTTATATATTTAACACACAAAGTTTACTATTTATATAATATAATACTCCATTAATGTTCATTAACTTCTTGACGATAATAAAAAAGAACGTCACTACGAAGGGCATTTGATGGGACAGATGATGTGTGAAGGACAAAAAAGAGTCGAATAAGTTGTGACTCGATCGCATTAGGAACAAGATCTACAAAGCCAACATTGTGTGAAGGAGAACAAAGAGGTTAAACAAATGACAACAAAATCTCGAGAAGGTTGACGGAACCAACAACGAGGAAAGTGGTGATAAGATCGTACTGGTTAGAGCGTGGAGGATATCATTTTCTTATATAATGTTGTGCATGAGTAAATAATAAAATTTAGACTTAAATATATAAATAATATACTTTTGAACATTATATATATAAATCCCCCTCATAATTTTATTATTTGAAGGAGAAGCACATAATGTATTTGTTATTAAAAAAAACAAATAGCATAAAGTTATTATTACTAACAATAATGTTGCTATTACTGTTCATTAGTAGTACACAATTCGTTTGATAGAAATTAAAACTTATAATAAGCAAAGAGAGAACCGACTAAAAATACATTTGGACTTGATCATAACAATACAGAAGAAACTGTACGAAAGAGATTCAAACAAATGGTTTAGCTTGTAGCGGTTCTGTCTCCATCAACTGTACATTTTTCAGGCAGCTTTAAGATGATCTCTTCTGTTGCGCTTAGAGATGCTGGGCGAGTTCTTGGAGCAGATTTGTGTCTTCTTCCAACACTCACTTTTTCAAGCTTTGTTCCCCCTTTCTTCACAACAAGAAGGTCAGCTTTCGCTGGGGCACCAGTAGAAGATATCCTTTCCTTCCAAATTCTTCCATCCTATAGATATACAGGCATTCTTCCATAGTTTAACAGCTATGATTCATCTAAATCATGGAAATCTAAACGACGGAAACTAACAAATTTTATGCTGTGATCTGTGAAGAAGGTATGAATCATGAAAAAATTTGCAAGTTTTGAGAGATCATGGCAAGTAGCCTTTCTTGTACATTAAAGAGGCTGTTTTCATAATGTGAAGTGATGACCACAAAGTATAGGCGCGTTAATGAGACAAGTCTAGTTTGAGCCACCCTTGACATGAGCTTGATATATTGATTGAGTTTGAGCTCCTCAAGTGAGACATAATTTGTTAATAATTTTAATAACTTTATACTTAAAAACTCTTAAATGGTAATATATTATACGTGTATTTTATACTAATAATTTTTAAGGGAGATGACTTATAAGCTAACGAGTAAAGTCAAGTCAGGCTCAAATTTCACTTGTTAGCTTATCGAGCATGGCTCACGAGTCAGCTTCACCCAATTACACCCCCACCTTTAAGCAACAACAAAGACAAGCTTACCATTGCATTAATCAACCCCACCCTAAAAATGGGGACTAACTTCAATTTGTTGAGATGAATAAATAAAAACACATTCTTCATTATGCAAGCTAGATGGTTCGGTACTTGGTAAATAGCATTGAACTCTAATAATACCTATCATCCTGAATTATTTGATAAGCTGCATCGCAAGTGAGGGTAGAAAAAAGTAGTATGCTTGAAGAATTCAAATAAAACAAGTATGAGTTTTTTCTAGTTCTGATGAACACTTGCAAATGACTTGAATTCAAAGTATTATCATGCAGTTTAGTCTTAGTTGCAATTGTTTGACACACAAAACAATATTTAGTAACGAGTTAGCAAAATGATTCACAGGTGTATGTGCTATAGTAGAGGCACTGGTAGCATGAATCTTGCACAATAATTCTAACATATTTATCAAATGCAATGGAGCTCATTTCTTCAATCAGGAAATCTGCAATTATACGAACCTGTAAACAAGCAATATAATGAAATATTCATATTGATTAAGAAACTGTCAGGTTACCAAGAAGTACAAAAGAAAATAGAATATCTAAACTTACATTTAGTATTGAAGGTTCTGATAATGGACATCTGACAGGTTGATCCTGGTTGATGGGCTCGACGGGGTGCTCCACAGGTCTAAATCCACTATCAACTTCAAATCCGCGACGCGAAGTGGTAGCCAAGGGGTCTCCTTTTTCAGCAACTTGTGCTTCCCTTTCATCCTGAATCGTCTGAATGTCAAGCTAAAGTAGTTATTCCAAATGATTGAGCATAAGCGCTTGTAGGATAAAAAAATACAAACAAGTTTTGCACACAAAGTCAAGGTCCCAGGAGGAATCTCCATGACAAGATTTGAATGAAAAGAGTTCATAGAAAAAGGACAATATTTAAGCAAAATATTTAAAAAATAAAAATCATCTGTTTCTAAATATATCAACTTATACCATCCATTCTGAAAGGCCCTTCAAAGTAACTATTATAATCATGAATTTGAAATAATTTTTACGAGAATTTTAGTAAGAATGTGGTATGCCAATATATATGGTCTTCTCTAGTTGTTGACTGATGACCTTCAATGAGAACACTTATTATTTTCTACACCAAATATGTCTTTGATGGCATCACCGTATTCTCACCAATCCTAAGTCTCACCCCTCATCGCTTCAAGAAAACCACCTACTTACATGGTTAAATATTTATAGGGAAAAAAAGAAAGATAAAAGATGAATATTGTTACTTCATCATTAATCAGATAAAGATGAAGCGCTTCTTTATTTCCAAAAAATAAATAAATTTGACCATTCTTTCAGTTTGCTCATCCTTGAAACTTCATTGACGGTCTTAGAGAGACGAGGAAGTTATTGTATAGGATCAATACATTGAAGAAAGGAGAGAAATATAAACTGATAATTTCAAAACAAAAAATACAAATAAGAACAACAGGTCTTTAAAGATTCATTTGGGACGGCTTTCTTTATACTTCTTAAAGAATCTTTTTAGTACAAAATTTTTACTAAAAAACTGTTAGGCTTCGTTTGGGATGGTTTTCTTACTGCTTTTAAAGTTCTTTTTAGTACAAAAATAAAAAAATTCTAGCTAAAAAATTGTTTTAAGAAGCAGTAAGAAAGCCGTCCAAACGAACCCTAAGTCAAATAACAGAAGCACTTTTGAACTTTTACACTGATAATATAGGAAAAAAAAAACAATTTTAAACCGATAACAGAAATTTTGAGCAGTAAGTGATATCAATAGAAACAAGCTAGATAAATTACTGCCAATAAGACCCGAAGGCTTCAGGTAAAGTAAAACCTCATAAAGGAATACATCGAGTAAACAAAATTCACAAGAGAATTGATGATTTAAGCACAACAGTTGATGCCAAAGTAACACAAGAGAGGTACACCACACCATAATTTTTGGTACAATAATCAACACAGATTGAAAAGAGGAAACTGGTTAAAACAAGGCTTACTTTTGGTTCAACAATCTACAAAACAAACATCTTATAACTAATATCAAAGAGCCATTCTTGCTCATAGTAGGACCAAAACTTGCCATATTCCACAGAATTACAAATATGAGAAAGAAGTCTTTACAGCAAATATATTCGATCTTATATACTTTTAACCAAAAAATCAACCAGCCAATGATAAAACAATCAAACAAGAACAATAACAATGATGGCAGGATGAGCTTGTTTTCATCTACAAACCTTCAAAATAGAACAAGAGAATCAAAACAAAGTTGCTAAAAATATAGCAAAGATCAGGAACAAATAAACCCATAACCTAGAAAAAATAACAAAAACCACTAACAAACGAAACCTATAAGCTAGAATTCCACGCAGAATCAATCACCTCTGAAAAGAATCCATGGCTCATCAAACAATAATCAACATATTGAAAAAGATATTAAGATAAAATTTACAGTTGTGCTCTGCGTTGTCTGGTGCCCACTCCTACTACCGGAAAACAGAGAGAAGATCCCCGACATTTTGAGTTTCAACGCCTCTCTTTCTCTTCCTTTTCCTCTCTTTCTTATACGACCAAGACAGTAGTTGCCTCAGGAATGCACTCTATTGAGATTTCCGCCATTTGTGTGGAAGTGTCTCACTCTTGGCATATTTCTTCGTCGTCTTCTTCCTCTTTATTGGCTCCTAGATCGTGATGTGTAAGATTTCTTCGCTCAGCAGTAGAGCGGTGGCCTCGTGTCTCCATCGAGCGAGTATTTTAAAGAAGAAAGCCGACCTAAGTGGCCGGTGACCGGAAATTGATTAGCGTCACTTGAAATGGATCGACTCACCGATTGTAAAAAGCTGTGCACCGATATTTTTTTTTTGTTTTGGAAAATGATATTTTAATTTTTAAAGCATGCAATGAGCCATATCAGTACAACACGTACACTATTAAATAAATAAAATATTAATTTCCCCAAAAAAAAATTAATAAAATATTATATAAAAATAGCCACGGATTTCCTCTCTGTTTCAAGATATTATTAAGTGTGGAGCCCAGATAAGACACTTTTAGTTTACATGTAAATTTTTAATATATATAATTTTTATAGTTCACGACTCAACTATTGGGCAAATTATTACATCCAGTCACCATCAGACGCGCAGAATATCACGTCACATGTGCTTTTGACTGCGCTTTAGGTGCTCTTTAGATGTGCTTTAGGTGCACTTTGACTGCGTTTTACCTGCGCTTTTAACGTGTTTAATTTAAAATAATATTTTATTAATATTCGAACCTATATCCACGTCCGGTGACCATATGCAATAATTTGCCCAACTATTGAGTCCAACAAATTCAATTAACATTATTTTTTTAGGAAAATAATCAGCGAAGTCTCTAAATTTTAGGTTTTCCAAATTTTAGAGTTTTAGTGAAATAAAATTTTCGATACTGAGAAAGAAAAATAAAAAACAGACGATGAAGATTGAGATGAGTTTGGAGAACATTGCATTCTTTGGAGAGATGATATGTTTTAGGTTTCAACTTATCGATAAATTTGAAACTCCTCCCAAATTTTATTATGTTTCTTGTAAATGCACGTCTTATTGAGTTTAATTGTTTCAATAGATAAACTTATCGTAGAAGCAACTACAAAAGAACAGTTTTTGCCTTCAAGGCATATCAAGTTCTCAAACATGACGGGCCAAGCCCAAATTTCCAAAAGAAAAAAAAAAAGTTCTCAAACATGTCGGAATGCTTCAACGAGAAATTTCTTTGAGAACATATTCTTCAATTATTTATAGATCGAATGGCGTAAAGAGGGCTGCTTCAATAAATACCTTATGTAAATTTATAGAAAATAATAAATTTTGGGAAGTGCATTTATTCTTTCATTTTTTTTTAGCTTGTACGCTGTCGTGTGTACTGAAGAGAAAAAAATTTTTTTAATTGTGTTTTTTTCTGATATATAGTGTATTGACTGTGTAATACATTTTAAAATTTATGATTCAAGATATGAATGATTTATATGTTGTTTTCATTCATTTCATGATGATTTTTGAACTTTAACGTCACGTATGTAGAAGATAATCTTTTTTAATTATATTTTTTCCAATACACACTATGTGTTAATAGTATATTGAGTGTGTAATGCATTTTAAAAGTTAGGATTCTAAGATATGAATGGTTTATGTGATGGTTTTATTTATTGAGTGTATATTAAGCATATATTGACTGTGTATTGATTGTTTATGTACTGAGTATGTATTGATAAAGTTTAAGTGTGCATTATCATCCTTTATAAATCTTAATTTTGATCCTTACCACTTCCAAAATTATTCATGACTATGTATTGAGTGAGTGTGTATTGACTATATATTGAGCGTGTATTGATTGTGTATTAATTATATTTTGAGTATATATTGACTGTGTGTTGACTATGTATTGATTGTGTATTTATTGTGTATTGACTATGTACAATATTCTTATTAATTTTTAAAATATTATGGCACATATATTTAAATCAAAATTTTAATATTTATTATAATTGCTTGGATTTAGTCTATAATTCTAATTTCTACTTTCTCCACTATTAGAGTTTCTTAGAAAACTTGGTTTACAACAAAAGTTTGAAAAGCTCCGATCTCGAATCAAATATTTGGGATGTGGAGCTCAAGTTCAAGTATGACGAATTAGTTATGAATGAATCATAGGCTATCAAATATTATAAATTAAAAAATAATTCATTAATTTTTTAAATCAATTGAAAAAAAAATGTATTGTACGAATAGAGTCGACTATTTTAAATTCGTAGAGTTTTTTGAAGCCTTGTATAGAAGATATCTTATTAGTCTCTTAGGAGATTTTTTTACTATTGAAGGGATTCACAGAGAGAGAGAGAGAGGTTGTGTGAGAGGGAAAAAGAGTATGAGGGGTTTCCACACAGTTGCTCCAAGCAAGCTTGCACCTTGATTCCTCCAGTTTCTTAGTGCGGACCTCCGAAAGAGCACCGCACAAATGGGCCAATTGGAAGGGACAGATTGGATCGTGCATACGACTAACCATTGAGGATAGCGGCTCTCGCCAACCTACCCTGATGGGTAGTAATATACGCGACCTGATCACAGTCACGGGTTTCCCCCACCCGATGCAACATCTCATGTGAGGTTTAGTAGATGTGGGGCCAAGTTTCCCACGGGCCCCCGTGGTTAATTACATCTCAGGTTGGAGCACGAGAAAACTCTTGATTAAGGATCATACATTATCCTTCCCAAAATGGGATTGGCACGAGGGTGTAGACTAAGAAGTCCTACTCAAAGGGGAGAAAGGTCCGAAGGGCTTAATCAACATGTGTGGTTCACACTGGCATTTGGAGGCTCTAGGGTACTAAAGAGAAACTTGAGAAAATGAAAGATCAAACATCCAATCACATGTGTGAGAGAAGGATGAAGGTGGCGTCATCCATGTGACGCAGATAAGTATGATTTATAGTCCCTGAAAGGAAGGGACCTACCCACTATTTAAGTATACTACAAGACGAGTGTAGTAGTCTCGAGTTTTAAATCTAAATTGGGTTTAGTGTTCTACACACACTAACTAATGCAATGTAAAGGTCTGGACTTATCCCGGCCTGGATTGGGGAGCCAGCTAACCACCTAATCGCTCAAAATTAGATCTGATTCGGGTCAATTTAGAATTTAATTTGATTTGCTCAAATTAACACAATTAAATTTAAATAAAATGATGGCTCAAATCATAACAAACTCGACGTGGCCAAGGCGGACTAATCGAGCTTAATCAAACCCGATCGAGCCTAATTCAACTCAACTCGAGTTGATTCGTGCTCGAATTGAACCCGATGGGGCTTGATTAAATACATCAAAGGCCCTCAATGACACTCAAACGAAAGTCGAGGTCAACACTTAGTAGATCTCTTGGGATTACTCTGGGGAGAAAGGCTTCAAGGCTAAAGATAAAGGTTATCTTCCTTCACCATGATGGTAAAAAAGCTTCCACGTTTGTTGCCTTCACTAGAAGGATGAAAATTCTAAAATTCTCTACCTCACAAGAAGGGTGAAATTATTTTGGTTCTCTATCACACTGGGTTAGTGGAAATGATTTTTTTAAGAGATTCTTAGTCATGTATGTGGGGGCTAAAGGAGAGACACTAAAGATTTAGTGTAATAACCAAAGAGAAGGACTCAGGGGAGTGAACGTAAGTCAATGTTGACCGAATCCCTGTACACTTTTGGTGTGCTCGTTCTATTGTCACATTTTCTTTTTTGTACTTTTATTTACTGCATTATGCAAATGTGTGGTGAGTTTGTTTAAATTGACATAAGTTTTTTTTTTTTTTAAAGAAAAAAAAAAGAAAAAATAAAAACAATACAAATATTTTTTATATTCTCTTTCACTTATATTTATTTTTGACATTATTTTTAAAGAAAATAGTTTTTGTTAAGGGATAAATTTTAAAGAATTAATTCACCCCCCCTGGTGTGCCTAGGGACAGTTCAATGAGGCTTAGCATCCTCCTTTGAACTTTCATCATCCTTCACATATGTTGTGTATTTGAAATTTGGTCAAATCAAATAAATTATAAATACATTGAAACTAAACTTGAGGATAAATTCCAAATTCACTCCCAACACAAAGATGGCATGGTATGTTATGCAATATGCTATTTCTTATGTTCTTGCATTAGTTGGCTTTTTTAGTCAACTCAATTTTGACATGATTAATTTGAATTGATTTTTTTTTTTTTTTTTTGCTTTAATATGAATGAGCTAGTTTATGTGGTGATTGTTCAAGATGCGCATCATTATTGTATATACTTTTAAGTCACATTTAAATCTTTAGAAACAATGATGTTACACAGTTGCCCTTGGATTATTTATTATTTATGATATTTTATGAGTTATTTATCATATTTAAATTATCACATTTGCTAATAATTTATTATAAAAATTTAAATTTTCATTGAAAGATAAATATCCAAATGGACAAATTTTCAAAACTCCTATATTTACTTTAGTTTATAGTCAAAATCTAGCTATCTAAAGAGACCAAAATTATCGGATTTTCTTTGAACTTAGTATTGTTCAAAGACGAATACCGAGTAATATCGAGCAATACCGAGTAATATCGAGCAATACTTAGTATGGTAATAATGAGGAATACCGCTCTGTCAAGACCAATACCGAGTAATATAGAGCAATACCGAGTAATCCCAAAAAATACCGAGTTTTTTCTAGAAAAAACTCGGTATTTTTTGGGATTACTCGGTATTACTCGATATTTTGTCTACACATAATGGTATTTCTCGTTATTGTTGATATTGCTCGGTATTTGCTCGGTATTTCTCGTTTTGTATCTACGATCTTAGTGCCGACCGAACGTAGCTCTACGTACGTTCACCGGACGTAATAAAAGTTCCCGGATAAGACACTTTTAGTTTAATGTAAATTTTTAATATATAATTTTTGTAGTTCGCGACTCAACTATTGAGTCCAGCAAATTCAATTGACATTATTTTTTAGGAAAATAATCACCGAAGTCTCTAAATTTTAGGGTTTTCAAATTTTAGAGTTTTAGTGAAATAAAATTTTCGATGATGAAGATTAATTGAGACGAGTTTAGAGAATATTGCATTCTTTGAGAAGATGATATATTTTAGGTTTCAACTTATCGATATATTTGAAACTCCTCCAAAGTTTTATTATGTTTCTTATAAATGCACGTTTTATTGAGTTTAATTTTTTCAATAGAGAAACCTATCGTAGAAGCAACTACAAAAGAACATTTTTTTCCTTCAAGGCATATCAAATTCTCAAACATGCCTAAATGCTTCAA